GGGACATCTGTAATACCCTCAACAATAAAAACAAATATATATATATAATTTTTTTTCTTCAAAATTTACCAAAAACTGGAAATGCATTGTTTCTTTCATACTCAATTTCTTTTGACAGAAATTCTTTACATGTTCTGTTAATTTTGTCTGGAGAAAGTAGATTGACTGCAGGAATAAAAAAATGCGGAAGATGCTCTGTCTTGAGGCACTGAAGAAAGTATTCCACAAATCTATCAAAGCAGAGCTCCAGGTCTTTGTACTGCCACTGACTGTCACATGGGTTCTCGACACATACGTGAAAAAAGGCAGTTTTCACTTGATAAGAACAGAATTTATCCAGTTTCTTTTGGTCTCCAAACTTTTCTTTCAATCGTTCTAAAAGATATTTCATTCGTTTTAAACAATCTTTCCTGTAGAATAAAAAAAAAAACACCCACAAATGTTTATTTGTACTTATTTACAACCTACTTCATTCCACAAAGAGCTTTAGGCATCTTACAGGAAGATAACAATAAACAATGCAGATATTAGAATACATATCAAGACATAAAAAATAAAGATATATAAATATAATAACAGTCACTCAATTTTTTCAAATATATGCTTTGAAGTCTCAAAGGCATATTTTTCCTCCCTCTTCCCCATTCCTAGCTTAAATATTTTATTCTATCAGGATTAATTCAACTATGAAACTGGCAGATACTTGTATTACTCATCCAATGATTTTGTTAGGCTCCAAATATTTACATTACTCATCCAGTTATTTTGTAGTTGACAAAATTTAATATTTTAAAAAATATTTAGCCTTACCAGCAATTTATTTTTCTTAACACTGGCTTCAAAGCCTGTACGTGAAGGTTTAAAGAACCTCCTGGGCCTACATGTTGGACATTCTTGTCTTGACCTTTTAACTTTTGTGACCCTTATACTGGACAACTTTAGAAACTCAAATGAACAATTGCTTTTCAATCTCATTTGTTATGGTATGTATTCTACCAAGAAAAATAATTACCCATCTTTTACTGTTGTTTCAAATTCAGCCAGTCAAGTCCCTGGCCTTCAATGCAGCCAAACTATCTCAAAGCAAGCAGCAGTATCCAAATGAGTGGTCTTCTGGCACCCTCCCATTATGTGACATTAATATTTATTACCTTGAAGCAACCAGGATACTAAGACACAACCAGCTGTCATGGCTAATGTTTACACCCTCTGTTCTGTTCTACTTTATGCATCCATCTGATCCAGGGTCAGGACTACGGTCCCTGGACTTGCCTTCTGACAACACTCTTTCCTTGGTCCCTTGGATCTGGTTTCCCTGGTTTCAGGCTCACCCTCCAATATTCCACATCAATCTAGCCATGTGCTGCCCCTAGGACTCAACCCAGCAATGATCATCTTTAAGTCTGAGCTATGGAGTCAAGAAAAAAATAAACATTACATGGATAAGCTCCCATTTAACAAAATAAGGAAGTTACCTGCAGCATTTATTTTCGTTTTTTTCACAGCATTTTTTAGAGCCTCCATGATTTTTCAAAATGTACTTTTCAATGTGAGAGAAGGATAGCCGCCATGTGTCTTCTTAATTAGCAAAAGAAAAATAGAAAGAAAAGTAATTTACCCAAAGAGTCTACATATAAGCAACACAATATTTAAGTGATTTCCTTCATTAAGATATCATTCTGAAAAATTTCTGGGGGAGATAGACCCAAGGAAGCAAACAGATAAATGATATAATTACATATTAAAAGAAGTCATTTGAAGCAAACAGTGGACCAAGATAGGAAAAACTGGGGGTAGGGGGTGCTTAATATAGTTAGCCATGTAAGATACATTTATCTTCTATATATTGCTCAATTCAGTTTGTTAATATTTTGTTTTTATAATAATTTTAATAAAATGATTCAAAAATGTTTATACCATCCTTACAAGATTTGGTATTCATGTAAAATGAACTAGGGAGCATTTCTATTCCTTGGGAGAATTTATGTAAGAATAGATTTCTCCCCTTCTACCAAAGTTTTACTATGGCTAGCTCCTTAAAGCTCTGATTCTCTTATTACCCAGCTGGTTTTATACCAGGAGCACATGATTGGTTTATAATTTAAAAATCAATCAATATAATCTGTCACATTAACACAACAGGGGAGAAATATATGCTCATTGCACCAAAAGCAGAACATGCAGGTCATAAAATTTAATATTGACTCAACATTTTGAAAGAAACAACAGCCTCTCAGCAATTTGAATCTGGATGGAAACTCGATCTGATGAAAGAAAGATTTAAAAAAGGACACAGCAACATGATAAAATAAGGTAAAAAGCTGAGGGTTTTCCCTTGAAATCAGTTAGGCAGGATGTTTGCAATCTGTATGTCTGTCCAACATGCACTGGCTATCCTAGCAAGCGTAATGAGGGGCATAGCACTGGAAAGACAGAAATAGAGCTATCATTACTGATAGATAAGACAACAATGTATGAAGAAAATACAAAAGAAGCTAGGTGACAGGTATGTGTGAGTTCAGTAAGTTCTTCAATCTGCTTTCCTATTGGTTTAAAATTTTTCAGACTAAAAACTTACAATTGTCTATGAGCAAATCTAACAAAAGATATACAAAATTTCTGTGAAGAAAACTCTAAAACTTCACTAAGAAGTATTAGAGGTAATCTAAATAAACGGAGATATGCACCTGTCCATGAATTGGAAGACTCATTATTATAAATACATCAAGTATTACAACATTCATCCATAGTTTCACTGTACTCTCAGTCAAAATCCGAAAAGATGTTTTTGTAGAATTTAACAAGATATTACAAAAATTTTCATGAAAATGCAAAGGATCTAAAACACTCATAAAGAAAGACAGAGTGGGAGAACCTGCCCTACCAGATATCAAGACTTATAAAGACACATTATGCATGACAATATAGTACAGTGCAAGGTAGACAACGATTTTAATGGGATGGAACAGGATAAAGAGTGTAGTAATAGCTATACAATAAATAGGCAATCAATACATGGAAAAGGTGGTACTGAGCTAGGTGTGCTCATGGCTACTGTTTAAATCCATTTATGCCATTGTGGAAAAGGCAAAACTATAGAGATGTAAACAGATCAGTGGTTGCCAGAAGTTTGGAATGGGAAGGGTTGAATAAGTGAAGCACATGGCCTTTTTAGGGGAGTGAAACTATTATTAAGGGTACATACGTGATACAATGCATTTGTGAAAACCAGTAGAACTTTATAGCTCAAAGAGTTAACCTTAATAAACGTAAACTCTTAAAAAAAATCATTTAGGAGATCAAGGGATCCCAGAAATAATGCAGACTGTGAAAAGGGACTCTAGCTGCATTACAAATGTATAAAACGACCTTCCTGAAAGGGGTGGGGCAAAAGGTGTTGACCTAAATTACTTTGGAAATGGGGTCTGTAAGGCTAAAGGCTAAAGGAACTGTACTCTAGCTGGTAATGGTTTCCCATGGAGGGAAGGCTTTACAATTTTGAAACAGCTATACATGTACACTAGAACTGAAAATTGAGCAGATTGGTGGCAGATGTGGGAGTCAGGTTTTTCACTGTTGGAATGAGAGGTTACAATAGCAAGGAGAGAAGGAATGATCCATGTGGTAATGGATTATAATTAGAGGCAGTATAAATTCATGTATAACTTAGCATACAGAACAGGTAGTACATATAAAAATATTTATCGATATGGGTATGTACTGGGGTTAGTATACATGCATATATTCCCTTGTTTCTCCAGCTGAGAGGGTTGACACCCTCGTAAGAGAGCACACATACACACAGCACCCAGATCGTGGTTTCTAGAACATTCTCCAATAAAAGCATGCAGGGCTTCTTGGAGAAATGGCTCATTCTAGGACTGATGCAGGAAATATACCAGATGAGCATGGAGCACCTTTGAGAGCCAGAAAGTGAGTCAGTGGTCAAAACAAACAAAACCCCCACAATTACAGAACATGTCCAAAGGACACAGGGACCCAACTGAAAGAGCTAAAGGACAAATCTGGAACAAATGAAGCAATAACATTAATAAAGTAGTATTGTATTACAGGCCAAAGTATAAAACAAATGTCCATGGCTCCATGTTGATATAAATGATTAAGTAAATTAATTAATGGGGGAGAAGAGACAAATCTCCCATGCAGAAGAATTCCAAAAAATTCTGTGTAAATACTCTGCTCTCAAAGAGGTGGCACAACTCCCCCCTCCTTAAGTGGGAGCTGTGTACAGTGACCTCCTTCCAAACAGTACAGTATGAAAAGGGGGAAAATGTAAATTAACAGTGGAGAAACCTGACAACACTACCCCAGCCAGGTGATCAAGGTCAACATCAGCAGTACTAAGTCAGGTTCATGGCACATATCCTTAATATGATGCAACGAACAGGGCATGTTAGTTCTCTGGTCACCCCCGCCAAAACCCAGGACTCCAGTCTAATCCTAAGAAAAACATCAGGCACATACCGTATGAGGGACATTCTACAAAATACACATAGCAGACATACACACAGCACCCAGATTGTGGTTTCTAGTACATTCTGAAATGGCTGATTTCTCCATTGACTAGTATTCAATTAGATACCTTGACTAGTATTCCTGAAAACTATCAAGATCATCAAGAACAAGGGAAGGCCGAGAAACTGTAACAGTCAAGAAGAGCCTAAGGAGCCTGGTCATGTTCTCAGTGGTTAGAGTGTAGGCCTGTGCACCAAAGGGTTATGGGTTTGATTACTGGACAAGGGCATGTGCCTGGGTTGCAGGTTCGATCCCTGGTTGGGTCAGGGTGGGTGCAGGAGTAAACCAATTTTTGTCTCTAACTTTGCTGTTTCTCTCTCTCTCTCTCCCCACCCCACTCTCCCTAAAAATCAATAGAAAAAATATCCTCCAATGAGGATTAACAAAAAAAAAAGAAAGAGGAGCCAAAGGAGACAATGATGACAAAATGTAATGTGGAGTCCTAGTGGGATCCTGGAACAGGGAAAGGTCATTAGGTAAAAACTAAGGAAATGTGAATAAAGCACTATTTAGAGAGGCTTGGTACCTAGCCCAAGATCACACAGCTAGTAAGAGAAGCCTCAGCCTCCAGGGCCAGAGCAGCCTGGCTCCGAGGCTAGTACTGTCTTTCTTTATTAAAAACAAATTTAAAAGGTAACATTCAAATGTGGACTAGTAGACATTTTAAAGCTGAGTATCTAATGAGAAAACCACTACAACTAAGCCCTTTCCAATTCAATCTCTCACCAAACTCCTATCTTGTAGCTTATTTAGCCTGATGACTTTTGAAATGCAACAGCAGTCGTTGATCTTTTACATATTTTAATGTTATTGCTTCATTTATATGTTTATATATAATGTATATAACATTAACAACTCTTTTATATGTCTTTAAATTAACCTTCACATTCAAGATACCTTGAAAAGTATTTCCTTCCTTTGCGGGCTTCGGTACCAGGTAAAATGGCTGTTGTCTTAGACTTCTCTTAACTTTTCGTGAAAGCCAGTTATCGATGGGCATGCCTTCCCTGGTACTAGCTGGCCAGCTGCTTTGTACTTTCAAAGCCAAGATTATATCCACAGATATTTCTTGAGGTTTTTTAATAAGAAGTGTTACAGCAGGACACCCTTTTTTCTTCTTATCCACAATGACATCTGTATCTGTTTCAACATATAACAGGAAAAAAAGGGTTTATCAACCTAATTTTCTTGAAAATATAGGAAAAATAATATAACTAGAATTGGAGATCTAGAGAGTGTTAAGGTGGAAATTAAAGCAGAAACTGACGTCACAACACAAAGTGTTTTACTCATTTAACCAATATTCATTGGTACCTATCATGGCCGGGAGGCACTGCCAAGAACCTGTCTGGCACAGAGGATGAGAAGCTGCTTTGAGGAAATTTCCATTTAAGTTGATGAATGGCAGTTTGGAGAGAAGCCTGCAAAAGAGGCCAGATCAGGGGAAGGGGGGAGCAAAGTGATGAGGGAGAAGAAGAAAAAAAGACCACAGCAATAGCCCAACCCAAGAGCATGGCTGCCTGTGGTAGCAAGGATGCAGCGAGCATCAAGACACAGGAGCAACCCACGTTCACTGCAGTGTTGCTCACAATAGCCAATATACGGAACCAACCTGAGTCCACTGACGGACGGGTGGATAAAGAAATTGTGGTATGTGCAGGCACACTCGGATATTTGGGCTCGGTTCCCGACCACTGCCATAAAGTGAATATTGCAATAAAGCAGGTCACACAAATTTTCTGGTTTCCCAGTGCATAAAAAAGTTATTTTTACACTATACTGTAGCCTATTAAATGCCCACTTGCATTATGTCTGAAAAACAATGTACATGCATTAATTAAAAATACTTTATTGCTAAAATGTCATCTAAGCATGTTGGAAAAATAGCACCAACAGACTTGCTGGACACAAGACTGCTACAAACCTTCAATTTGTGAAAAACACATTATCTGTGAAGTGAAATAAACTGAAGCACAATAAAATCAGGTATGCCTGTACATACAATGGAATATCATTCAGTCTTAACAAAGAAAGAGATCCTGCCATTTGTGACAACATGGATGAACCTGGAGAAAATAAGCCAGACACAGGCCAATGTTGCATGACCTCACTTACATGTGAAACCTAAAAATACACAGGAGCAGAGGGTAGCATGGTGGCTACCAGAGGTGGGGAGGTTTGGGGGCGGGGAAATGGGAGATGTTGGTCAAAGGGAACAAAGTTGCAGTTAGGGAGGGAGAGTCTAGAGATCTAATGTACAGCATGATGACTCTCATTAATACTATCACACTGAGTACTGCAAACAGTACAGTATTAAATACTGTGCTAAGAGAGCAGGTTTCAGGTACTCTCCTCATACACACACAAAGGTTACTATGTTAATTAGCTTGACTGTGGAAACCATTTCACTATGTACATGCTTATCAAAACATCTTAAACATACACAATTTAAATTTTTTTAAAAGACACAGGTAGCAGAAGTGAGAGCCACTGAAGAGGTTAAAATTCACAGAACTGGTAGATGGCCTGAACCTGTAGGATGAGGAAGGAGGTGGGAGCACTGGAAGCCATCCCAGGAGTGTAGCCTGGGAAATGATTCTTGTTGGTTCCATTCTTCTGCGTAGACTCTATACTACAGAGTAAGCAAGAGGAAGCGCAGTTGAGCTGAGATGAACATCATTTTAGATACACTGAGCTCTAGGTGCCTGTGGACACCCAAGTGGAGATGGCCACTGGGCAAGTAGCTATGGTGGTCAGAAATTCAGGAAAGACTTCCAGAGGAGAGATACTGGCTTTGGGATTTAGGGGTGCACAAGCAGCAGTTGAAGACTACTCCCAGATAAGACTTCTGGGAGGGACCCCAGTGAGAAAGAACACAGAACACCAAGGAGAAAATCCTAGAGAACATTCCCATGTTCTTATCATTAAATCTGCAACACCCCCCCTCCCCCATTATACCCTTCTTCCTCCTGTTACCACCGAGGAAGGGCCCATTCACCTAACTAAGGCCACCCCTGCACATGGCCTCTGGATCCTCACTTTCTCATGCACCTTGCTCCTTTGTTCCCTCTCCTGCATCAGTGGACTCCCCCTCCTTGCTGGGCCATTCCTACCCCACACAGAAGGTTCCAGTGTCCTCATTCTAAAACAGCCTATCTTTCGACCCTAAATCCGCCTCTTCCCCATACTTATCCAGCTTTCTACTTCCTTTGCAGCCAAAACTTTCTACAGTTGCCTACACATGCTGTCTCGACTGCATCCCTGCACTTTTTCTTTTGTGTGCTCATCACCCTCCTGAAACTGCTAAGTCAAAGTTACCAACAATCCCCACAAAATCAAAGACCAAACGCAATGGTTTCTCGGTGTCAGCAGCATTCTATACACTGACCACTGCTCTTGTAAAACACTCAGCCTCCTTTTGCTCTGTCTCTTCTCCCCAACTTCTAATGGGATCTTCTTACCACTCTACTTAACATTACAATTTCCCCTCATCCTATGCCCCACACTCCTGATGCCTCTTACTTTGCTACACTTTTTCACCATAAAACTATTTACTAGTATCAAAGATAACTATTTTCCATTTGTTATTAATTGCATATCTGCCCTTACATAATTATATGGTACAGAAGGGTGAGGGTCTTCCTCTATTTGTTCATTAACATCTCAAACATCCAGACCATCTGTCATATTAGATAACCAATGAATATTGATTAAATTAATGGATAAATTAATCTCCACTCTCTGCCTAAGGGACCAGTTATATGCTGCCATGCAGCCCAAATGTATGCTCTGAACTCCAAACACATATCCAGCTCCATACTTGACACATTCACTTGAACACAACACAGGAATCTCTAACTGAACATATCCAAAGCCAAACGCTTCATTCATTCCCCAAAATGTGTTCCTGCTCTTCCTAAATGGCACAATCAGTCTACACATGTGCTCCTTCTAGAAACCCGGGAGCCTTCTTCAATGCCATCCTCTCTCTCACCCATACACTTGATCCAGAAGTGAGCACAGCTTGGGAGAGTCTGCTGCCCTCCATCCTAGCACCCCAACTCACCCCCATCTTTCCATCTCAACTACTAAAGTATTTTCCTTTCTAACCTCCTTATTTGCCTTCTTATAATATCTTCTCCATAGAGGCCAGAGTAAACTTTTAAAAATACAAAGCCAATCATTTTTTGTCATTACCACCTGGCTTCTCAATGTACATAAAATAAAATCTGAACCTCTTTCTAGGATCTACACGTCTGTGAAGAATCTGGCTCCTGGCCACCTTATCAACTACATTTCACTCTTCCCCTTGGTCACATTTTAGTTCCTTGAGCTTGCCTAGCCCTTTTCTGCTTCAGGGCCTTGCCCCAGCACTCCGGTTGATACCACTTCTCCCAGTTCATTCCCTTCACAGCATTCACTACAATTTGTGTTCACAGGATGCAAGCTTCAAGAGGGGATCCCATGATTTTATTCAACCACATCCACCCAGTGCCACAGGCAGGAGTTCAGTGAATATTCAATGGAGGCCAAAATAGAGCCAATCAACGTTTTAAAAGAATATCAAGAAAATGTAGTAGAATAATATCAAGAGCAAAGAATTGTTTTGAGGAGGCAGTAGTCAACAGTGTGCTGCAGGGGGGTCAAGAAAGACCAGGAGAGGAGTGTACATTGGCAATTAGTAGGTATGATGAGAACTTCAAGAATCAAAAGTGAAAAGTCTTACCATCAATTTTTTTTATTTCTTCCTGAATGAGTTTCCTAAACTTGGCCAGCATCTTAGAAGCTGATAATACTTCCCCTTCTACAAACTCATTCAGAGGATTTCCTCTGGGATTTCTTTTGAACTTCACAAAGTAATGAGAACCACTGTTGCGATATTCTTCTAGCTTAATTCTGGGGGCTTCCAGTTCAAACATAACATCAAATTCATTAGGTGCAGAAACCTAAGAAAAAGTAAAAACAGCAGTGAAGTGTTTGATTGTGAATATTTTCCAAGCAACTGCAAATTTTTTCTTAAAATTTCCACTTAAAACCCTACTTTTAAAAGCAAGACTCCTAATATTTACACCTCTGGGAGTGAGAGAAGTGGAGCTGGGAGAGTATTATTGGTTTTAGTTTGTAGGTTCTATACTCATTTTTTTAAACCATAAGTAGGTGTGAATTCCATAATTTAAAACAATTTTATTTATTCATTTTAAAAAGGAATTATTAGTATTTTTTAAAAGATAGAGAGATGAAGGGAGAGGAAGAGAGAGAAACATGGATGTGAGAGTGAAACATCAATTAGCTGCCTCCTGCACACTGCCTACCAGGGATCAATCCAGTCCGCATCCTGGGCATATGGCCTGACCCGGAATGGAACCAGCAATCTTTGGGTGCACAGGACGATGCCCAAACAACCAAGCCACACTGGCCAGAGCTTAAAACAATGTTAAATGATATCATGTAAGCTTTTAAAGCCTTTACCAGTTTTATTCTGAGTTTAAAGCTTAATAAAATTGAAGACCTTGAAGGCTCTATCTTTTATGTCACAAGATACACACTGCAGCCTCCCTCCTGTCACAATGGTCTCAAAAATGTGTATATTGACCTACTGGCTAGTTGAGCAAAGGCTATCTCATATCTATTGGTCACCCAAGTGAGTGTGAGCTCCAAGTCATGTACAGTATTCCTGTCTTAGAAGCACCTGTAGAAGCTTCAAAGAACCTTTCCCATTCTCACAACAATAAAAATTAAAGCAATTATAATTAGTGCTTGTTTTTACTGTATTAAAAATGTCACAAGTCTTTCATTAGTTAGGATATGCTTCAAGTACAGCTATTGGACTGCACTGTTCAACACAGTAGCTAGTAGGCATTTGTCTACTAACCACATGAAATGTGGCCAGTGCAAATTGAGATGTACTGGGCTGTGTACTTAACTGTCCTCCCAAAATCCAGATATTGCAGCCCTAACAACCCCCCCCTCCCCATGTGTCTGTACTTGGAGAGAGAACTTGTAAGAGGTAATTATGGTTACATGAGATCGTGAGGGTGGGGTTCTAATCTGTTAGGATTGGTGACTTTATAGGAAGAGGCAGAGAGAAAGATTGCATTTTCTCTGGGCACAGACACCAAAGAACACAGTGAGGACACAGGCATCAGTGGATAGATCTTCCAGACAGAAAATCAGTAAGAAAATAGCAGCCTTACATGACCATTAGAACAGATGGATTTAATTGATATCTTCAGAGCATTTCATCCCAAAGCAGCAGAATTAATACCTATCCTTCTCTAACTATTCCAAAAAATTCAAGAGGAGGGAAGACTACCAAGCTCATTTTGTGAGGTAACCATTATCCTCATTCCCAACACAAAGACTTTACACACACAAAAACTATAGGCCAATATCCCTGATGAACACAGATGCAAAAATCTTCAACAAAATTCAGCAATTTATACTGGAATGATGGCTTTAATGACAACCACCCACAAACAAATGGAGCTGTGGAATATACACTTAAAAACAGTTACATCTGAGGTGTATTTAGGAAGTATGCCTTTAGTACCTGTAGGAGATTTTCTCTTAAATTTTGTTTAACATCACTCACTGTGAGCTTCTCATAATATCTGAATAAGAAATTGAAAGAAAGAGTGAGTCTGCAGGGGCTGGAGGAAGAGACTGAAAATATTTTTCCTGAGCTAGCCCATTGGCTCAGCGGTGAGACCATAGGCCTGCGGAATGAAGGGTCCCAGGTTCCATTCGGCCCAGGACACTGTACCTGGGTTGGAGCCTCCATACCACTGGTCAGGGTGCCTGCAGGAAGCAACCAATCAATGTGTCTCTCTCACATTGATGTTTCTCTCTCTCTGCCTTCCACTCTCTCTGTAAAGCAATGGAAAAATATCCTCAGATGAAGATAATATATATATGTGTGTGTGTATATATATACACACACATATATATATATTTTTTTCCTTTGGAGTACAGATGTTCTCATAGGCAAAAGTTTCTTCCATATCTTAATTTTGTGGATTTTTTTTGCATATCACTCATAATCATTCAAGTCATAATCTGATCAGAAACCACCAAGTATAACACTGTTGGAGAAACACAATACAGGCCTGTTTGCATGACTGAATCTATACATTTGAATTCCCCCAATGGCTGTGTCTTGCCAGTGGCTAGCAATCAGTATAGGTTGGCTGGATGTCGTGATGAATAAAAGAAAGAACAACTCCTCATCGCTTTAATTTAGAACTAAAGAACTAGTCTGAGTTTCTTCCGAAGGAAAGTGAGGAACCATAGGAGGTGGGGAACATTGAGGAGGCTGGGAGAGGGGCAAGGAAGCCCGGCCAGCCGCCTGGGGCACAGAAAGGCAGGAGGCCACGCGATCCGCAGCTCACCTTCACTTGCTCATAGTAGCTCCCCGCGTGTAGCAGCGCGACACCTTTGAACTCGGACTTCCAGCTCTGCATACTTCGTTGCAGGTGGCCGACGATCCTGTTTACAACCTCCGCCGCCACTGAGATTTCCTCGCGGCGTAGCCTCAACTTCTCCAGAACCGCCCGGGGCTTCCAGGCGCCAGGCGCCGCCTCCCTCTGGTGGACACTAGAGGCTGGGACCAGCGAATCGTGGACGGGAACCTCCGTGGGCCTGGACCGAGGTCTCCGCTCCAGAGTGGAGTGCGTGCCCCCCTCAGGACAAGATACAGCTCTGGGAAGTGGCCGCTCGGAGGCTGCGGGAGGCTCCTGCCCCTTGTACAGAACCGCCAGTCCTTCCAAGACTTCCTCAGCGCCGGGAGCCGCCTTCTTGGGGCGTGCGCCCCCACGGCGGCTAGATCCAGCCCTGGGAAGGGGCGGCTCTGGGGCCGTGGGAGGATTCGGTGGACTCACCTGTGCGTCCAAGTTGCCCTCAGCACTCACGGGCGCCTTCTTGGGGCGTGCGCCCGGGTTCCGGCGAGATCCGGCCTTGGGAAGGGGGGGCTCCGGGGCGGCGGGAAGCTCTGGCCCCTCGGGTGGACTCGCCTGTGCATCCAAGTTGCCCTCAGCACTCACGGGCGCCTTCTTGGGGCGTGCGCCCGGGTTCCGACGAGATCCAGCCCTGGGAAGGGGCGGCTCTGGGGCCGTGGGAGGATTCGGCCCCTCGGGTGGACTCGCCTGTGCATCCAAGTTGATCTCAGCACTCACGGGCGCCTTCTTGGGGCGTGCGCCCGGGTTCCGACGAGATCCAGCCCTGGGAAGGGGCGGCTCTGGGGCCGTGGGAGGATTCGGCCCCTCGGGTGGACTCGCCTGTGCATCCAAGTTGATCTCAGCACTCACGGGCGCCTTCTTGGGGCGTGCGCCCGGGTTCCGACGAGATCCAGCCCTGGGAAGGGGCGGCTCTGGGGCCGCGGGAGGATCCGGCCCCTCGGGTGGACTCGCCAGTGCATCCAAGTTGATCTCAGCACTCACGGGCGCCTTCTTGGGGCGTGCGCCCGGGTTCCGGCGAGATCCGGCCCTGGGAAGGGGGGGCTCCGGGGCGGCGGGAAGCTCTGGCCCGGCGGGCAGATCCGCCGGCCTGTCCACCTCGGCTACAGCGCTCAGAAGCGCCTTCTCGGTGGGTGCACTCCGCGCGCGTTCCTGAGGTCTCTCCTGGGGTTCCAGGTTGCTCTTCCGCTGTGATCCCGACGCCCTGGTGGGGCCGCAATTCTGCTGGTTGGGCCGGGAAACTTCAGGGACAACCAAACACTCGCTGGGCTTCCTCTGGGTGGGCTTCGTCGGCGAGGTCTTCGTCCCGGCGCCCTTCGAACTTTGCGCCGAAATCTTGGGGGTGGCGACCCCCGCCCTCGAAGTTGTCCGCGTCTCTTTTTTGCGCAGAGGATCCATAGCTCGCACTCTCTGCCACCTGAAAGTTGACTCGGCTTCGCGAAACAGCGGCGGATAGAGGAACCAGCAGTCGCGACTGGCGGCTGGAAATGAAACTTAGAACTTGAAGACTGGCGGGAACGCAGTGACGCGGGAAATGTGCACCCACGCTGGGAGGTCACTCTGGGAGCCACGCCCCGGACGCGCTAGGGAGGACCTCCCACGGTCCTGGAAAGATGCTAATGCTCTCCCACTGCGGTGCCATCTATGCCACTAGCTTGGCAATCACTCAAAGCCTAACCCAAGAGAAGGGAAACTCTCTCAGCAGTATTCACAGCCAGACACATTTGCTGGCATACCACCTAAAGAATTTTGGAAAACTTCAGGCTTTCTTGTCCACTGAAGTTGACAAACTTTTTCAATGTAAGTATTTTTTAATTAATGGGAAATAGAAAATGTTCACCTTTTACAAGACTGAAAGATTGACTGTAATTGGAATGAATATTTATTTGACTTTGACTTTTTTTTTTTTTTTTTTGCTGGGTATAGTGAACTTTATCGATGGTGCATGATAAGGTAAGGCTCCCTAAGCCTCTCCAATTCTTCAGCGGCCTGAGATGGAAACTGTGGAGGTGAGGAGATTCTCAGTGTGTTGGAGGATCTATTTGGTGTAAGCAGCTGAGGGCCTCTCTTCCTCTCATTGGGGCTGGTGGTCAAGGGGCTTCTTACTCCTTGGAGGCCTGTGGATCATAAAGTCCACCACCCTGTTGCTGTAGCCAAATTCAGTGTCACACCAGGAAATGGGCCTGACACAGTGATCATTGAGGGTGATGCCAGCCTCAGCATCAAAGGTGGAGGAGTGAGTGTCACTGTTAAAGTCACAGGAGACAAGCTGGTCCTCAGTATAACCTAGGATGCCCTTAAGGAGGGCCCTCTGAAGCCTGTTTCATTTCATTCTTGATGTCATCGTATTTGGAAGCTTTCTCCAGGTGGCATATCAGATCCACAACCTACATATTGGGGGTGGGGACATGGAAGGCCATGCCAGTGAGCTTCCCATTCAGCTCATGGATGACCTTGCCCACAGCCTTGGCAGTGCCAGTAGAAGTAGGGGTGATGTTCTGGGCAGCCCCTCTGCCATCACACCACAGCTTCCCAAGGGGCCATCCATGGCTTCTGGGTGTGGCAGTGGTGACATGGATTGTGGTCATGAGTCCCTCCACAATGCCTCAGTTGTCATGGATGACAATGCCTAGGGGGGCCAAGCAGTTGGTGGTGCAGTAGGGACTGCTGACAATCTTGAGGGAATTGTCATACTTGTCATGGGTCACAGCCATCACAAACATGGGGACATCCACAGAAGGGGCAGAGATGATGGCCTTCTTTGCTCCATCCTTCAAGTGAGCCCCAGCTTTCTCCAAGGTAGTAAAGACACCAGTGGACTCCACAACATATTCAGCAGCAGCACCCCTTTCGATGTTGGCAGGATCTCACTCCTGGAAGATGGACATGGATGACAAGCATCCAGTTCTCAGGTTGACTGTGCCTTTGAACTTCCATGAGTAGAATCATACTGGAACATGTAGACCATGTAGTGAAGGGCCATTGATGGCAATAGTATCCACTTTGCCAGAGTTAAAAGCAGCCCTGGTGACCAGGTGCCCAATACTCCAAATCCATTCATGCCTTCACTATTGTGTGTCAGGACTGGGGCTGGCACTGCGCAGGAAGACCCGGCTGTCTGATGAACAGGAGGAGCAGAGAATCTATTTGACTTTTTAAAAGCACACACAATCTTAAAGAAACGGTGTGAAGTTCTTATTAGTGAGTTTTATCCATTGGTTCTCAAAAGCCCATCAAAAAAATATACATTTTAAGTAATCCATGCTGCTTTAGCTGTTCAGATTCCAGAGTATCTCAATACAGGCTTTCAAAAATCTACTTCTAAAGCCAAGTCCTGTATAGAAATACAAATGAGACAGGAACCCCTTGCGTTTAGAATGCCTTGATTACTTTTTTAAACTATACTAACCATTTTTGAGTGTAGAGTTCAGTGACATTAAATTCATTAACACTGTTATGCAACCATCACCACCATTCATCTCCAGAACTCTTCATCTTGGAAAATTGAAACTCTGTACCCATTAAACAATAATACCTCATCCCCCCGCCCCAACCCTGGCAGCCACCCTTCTACTTTCTGTCTCTATGACTTTGACTGCTCTAGGTACCTCATGGAAGTGGAATCACAGTCTTTGTTGTTTTGTGACTGGCTTATTTCACATAAGATAATGTCCTTAAGGTTTATCCACATTGTTGCATGTGTCAGCCTTCCTTTTTAAGGCTGAATAATTCCCTTCTATGTATGGACCACATCTTATTTATCCATTCCTCTGTCAATGGATTAATTTTTTTAAAGGTTTCCCTGAATCTAGTACTTTGATATATCCTTCTCTCTCTGTTTTAAAAAATATATATCTTTATTGATTTCAGAGAGAGGAAGGGAGAGGGAGAGAGAGTTGAAACATCAATGATGGGAGAGGTGTCATCGATGGGCTGCCTGCCTCCTGCATACCCTGGACTGGGGATGAAGCCCGCAACCCCGGCATGTGCCCTGAGGGGTAATCGAACTTCCATCTCCTGGATCCTAGGTCTATGCTCAACTGCTGAGCCATGCCCGGCCGGGCGATATGTCCTTCTCTTTCTACAAAGAGTTTTTCTTATACCCCAGGGCAGTGGACTCTAGTTTGAAATGTGATGTGAGAGATGTATATATTTTTCCTTTGTAAAATGGAAGAACTTTTGTGTAGTTAGGCTTGTTTGCAAGCCGACCAATTTCAGGGAAGAGTAACCTGGAAGGTGGAATTTGGAAATCCATTTCCTTAAAACTGCCATTGTGTACTTGGGCAGTCCTCTAGGATGCCCTGGGGCATGCCTACCTCATTCTGAAGACCCCTGCTCTATGGTTCTATTTTTCTCCTTTAAGGGCTCCAGTTGCTTGTCAAGGAATCAGTAAATGACTCTCAGATAGCTTAATGCTGTCTTCCAGCCACTTCCAAAGTCTTCAAAAGTCCACTGGTGTTTGCTTAACCAAAAACATGCAAGCAGCAATCCACCAGGCCAGAATTAAATACGTCTGCTGCTGACCTGTCAAAGGAGGAAAACTTGTTCCTTGCTCAATCTTGCTGCCACAGCCAGTGTCCAGATCACGGAAGGAATGACTTTTTAGTTAAGTCTGGATATGAATCTTGGATGCTATCTGGGAGAAGAACACACACAAAAGATTCATTTGTGGGTATGTACTTTCATGAGCTGATTTTACGTCTTATCCTTTATGTTTCATGTTTGCCTCAGTAATTCACTTAGTCACTCAACAAATACTTGAGTGTCTGCTATTCTAGGTTCTCGGGATCCTTGCCCTCCTGGAACTTACATTTTGGCATAGAAACAGACAATAAACATATAATAGAGGATGATAAGCTGTATCGAAAAGGGGAAAAAAATCAGTCCCTGGCTGGGTGGTTCAGTTGGTTACAGTGCTATCCCGATACTTCAAAGTTTCATGTTCGATCCCCAGTCAGGGCACATACAAGAATCAACCAATGTATGCATAAATAAGTGGAACAACAAATCTTTCTCTCTCCCAGTCCCTTTCTCCCCACCTTCTCTGTAAAATAAAATAAAATATATATATTTTTTTTTATAGAAAAAGGAAAAAATAGTGCAAGAGGGATCAGGAATGGTACAATACTAAAATACTGGAAGAGTGGTATCTGAGCAAACAAAGATTTAAAGGTGGGGATACCCAGGGGAAGAGTTTTCCAGGCAGAAGGAAAAGTTAATGCAAAGGACTTAAGGAGGGACTATGCCTAGTTGTTCAAACAACTGTAACTGGAGCTTGTGAAGTATGAGAAATATCAGTTATCAGCTCATTGCCTCTCAGCTGCATATACATCCTTCGATATATGCTTTCTGATAAGCTACAGAATTCTTTTAGGCATTTCTCTTTTGAAGTGCCCACTATGTTCAGCTTTCTCAGTAGAGGTTGCTGAAGGAACATTGCAGGAGGAAGTTTCCCGTGATTTCCAGCATAGGGGAGGGAGTGGAGGGGATTGAGTAGGGAAAAAGTCGGGCCTTGTTGGGTATGAGAAAATCTGATAGAGCCTATCCCAGGCACAGGCCTAGAAAGTGATCCTTCTGTTATCCTGCAACCTTGGCCTGGCCATAACCTGTCTACAGCTTAACTAGATGGGGAAACCAAGATTGCTACCTGCCCTGCATATAGCTGCTTGTGGGTTGATCAACACACCAGGCAATTGATTTTTCTGCAAGCCCTGTGTGCCGCCCACCTGTGGCCCAGGAAGTCCACACAGAGCTGTTGCTCCCTTTGCAAGCTACCTTGTGTAGCCCATGCTTTCTGAAAGCTTTTTGCACTTGAGGTCTGAGCCCCTTCCAAGTTTATTCTTCCTTGGGTACTCTCCCTCAGCTCTAGAGTGCTATGTAGAGATTCTTTATATCCTATAGCTATTCTTTTATTATAATTAATTATTCTTACATTATGTATCTCCTGTGTAATCTACTGTGTGGCTTTTCTCTCCTGATTGGATCCAGACTGCTACAGAACTGGTGTTAGGAGTAGACCCAGGAGATAAACCCCTAAAGATGGGATGGGGGGATGGGTTTGAATGTGCCCTTGAACTTGAGGGCAGTAATCAAGGAGGAGAAACCATTCAAATAGATTGAGAAGGGGGGAAAAAATAGATTGAGAAGGGGTGACCAGAAAAATAGGAGAAAAAACAGAATATCTTGTCTTGGAAGCCAAAGTGTATCAAGAAATGACTGTGAAAGAAAAAAAAGCATTAACATGAAATCTCTATCTTCTTGCCTATGTGTAACTGTTCCTAAAGTTTGTGAGGAGATGGGGATACAGAGCAAGGGAAGAAGGAAAAGTATTGCAGGCTGAGGGAACAGAAAATGCAAAAAGAAAGAAAGTAAGAAAGGTATATGGAGACCATATAATAAGGACTCTTCAATAACTTTTCTGTCCTTTTATGATGAATTACTTCAAGTCCATTATAACTCCTTTAAGAAGCAAGCATTCCCTGTCATCTGCCATGGACAGGATTACTCCCTCTCTGCAACCTGTAATCACAGCTCACTGTGGCTTTATTATAACATTTAATGTATTTCCTTATAATTGTATGTGTGCCAGTTACTAGTCTGCAAACTCTTGGAGGATAAGGAATGAGATTGTTTCTGTAAGTCCAACCTTTCTTCAAAACCGTAATAAAATTGACCAATTTATAACTGCCCTCCTTTTCCTTCATGAAACGATGCCTCTCAATAGCAGAGATTTGATTTTCTACTTTTCTCATTACTCAACAGCTAGTAGACTTGAAATTAACTAGAGAGTAGAAGGAAAGGAATTTCATTAACAAGTAAGTTACCTGTTTTTTAAAAATATTATTTGTAAGGCCCAAATATTTTCTGGTGACATGTTTTTTATTCTTTTTTCCTAATTCTCTTTTCTATAATCATGGTAGTAAAAAAGGCTTTTACAGTCCAGGGACCTTAACACTGGGTTTCTAGGTGTTATGTAATTTTGGCAGACCATCTCTTAAGTTGACCGGTCACAAGTATACTTGTGTTTCTGTGTCCAAATGTTGTTGACTGGTCACAAGATAACTCATATCTGCACTTACATTAATTTAAATAATTTTAAGGTCTGAAAGCAATTTAGAGTTTTAAAAGAACGGAAAAGTAGCCTGCTGCACGGGTGAGTTCTGGCTTGAAATAGCTGGTCAGAGAGGTTAACACAGATAGATAAATCAGTCCAACTTAAGATCAATGAGGATTCCCTTAACTCATAAAATGTGTTATGAATGCAGTAAAGGGTTAACTCAGCAGACGCAGGGTGTTCACACTCTGCACATTCCAAAGAAAGGACTGGTCCCTGATAGACTCCTGAAAGATAACTTCTAAGTCCTTGGAAAATCCTGGCTGATAAAAGTGTCTTTGTATAGCTCTGGGCAGGTAGTTCAGTTGGTTAGAGCATTGTTCTAATACGCTAAGGTTGTGGGTTCAATCCCTGGTCGGGGCACATACAAGAATCAACCAATGAACGCATAAATACGTAGAACAACAAATCGATGTTTCTCTCTCTCTCTCCTTCTCAATATATAAAAAAATTTTTTTAATGTCTTTATATATACCTGGGGCTTTGGGCAATGCCAGATAGTTTACACTAACAGTGTGATTTAGGATGGGTCCCTGGTCTATGCTGGAGGGACTGAAGACTAAGTAACTAGGTCAGTCATGCAGGCACAGAGTCATAATACTCCCAGTAAAAGCCCTGGCCTCCCAGGTATGGGTCAGATTCCCTGGTTGGCAATACTCTGTATTGTCACACATTATTGCTAAGAAAACTAAGCACTGTCCATATGACTCCAGAGGGAGATACAACTGGAAGCTTATGCCTGGTCTCTCCTGGACACTGCCCTGTGTGCCTTTTGCCTTTGCTGAATTTAATCTGCATCCTTTCACTGTAATAAACCATAACCATGAATATAACAGCTTTTCTAAGTTCTGTGAGTCCTTCTAACTTATCACTAAACCTGAGGATGGGCAGCCCCTGCCTCCACAGCCATAAACACTGCCTCAGCCAAGGCAACAAAATGCCCAAGATCCTCTAACTCAGTACACCCCTAAGCACAATCTCCAGGATTCCCAAAAGCCTGGTCCCCAGTTGGGCTCACTGGGGACCCTTCAAGCTGGAAGGAAATCTAACTATTTTAACAGTAAATTTCAAGATGGGCCTGTCAACAAATTACATACAACAGTGGTGATCCAGAGATAAATCCAAGACTCCCACTGACTATCAGTAAAAAACAGATGAGCAACCCTACCTTCTCACCACCCAGCAACATCTCCACTCCAAAAGCCACCCCCAATCCACTCTAAAAGAGGAGGCAAGCTGGGAATAAAATGTAATTTTTTCCTGGAATGAAAAAAGATATATACATATATATATATATCTGAGGATTGACAACAGTATGGTCATTACCGGAGGGAAATGGGGGTGGGTGGGGGAGGTAGGAAAGGGTAAAGTGGGGGATAAATGGTGATGGAAAGAGACATGACTTGGGGTAGTGAACACACAATACAATATACAAATGATGCATTATAGAACTGTATCCCTTAAACCTTTACAATTTTATTAACCAATGTAACCTAAATAAATTAAATTTTTAAAAAAGAAGATAATATCTACCTCATAATTAATGTGAGGAGCCAATGAAATGACATAATTATATAAAGTAATTTAAAAACACACCTGAGGATGGTCTTGGGGGATCCTCAACACAAATGGTAACAGACTAACTTCAGCATAATCAAGAGCTTTATCTTCTTTTACAGTAGAGATACAGTTCACCATATACCTATCCCTGCCTAAACATCTCATCTTTGGGTCTGAGATTAATGTCTCTATAGGAAAGAGAAGGGTCTCATTTAAATATATATCATGTGAAGAGATTAGTAAAATTGAAAATGTAGGCCAGTGATTCTCTTATTAAAGACTCACACTACTGACTTTAACATACTTATTAATACAATATGTTTTACCAGGCTGGTGTGGCTCAGCAGTTGAGCATCAACCTGATCAATGACTCTCTCATCATTGATGTTTCTTTCTCTCTCCCTCTTCCTTCCTCTCTCTGACATCAATAAAGATATATTTAAATTAATTATGTTTTGTAACCCTCAAAAATTAATCGTTTTATAATTAATTAATTATGTTTTGTAACCCTCAAAAATGACATAAATCTGTATTTATTATAGAAAAATGTCCATGATAAACTATGATGTGCAAAAGTAGATTACAAAACAGTGCACATATCCCATTTTCATGAAAAATATTAAAAATATATTTATAGTTAAACTTAATTAACATTCAGTGCTGGCTACGGTATGATGAAATAATCTTACACTATTAGTACAACCTGATGCAAAGTTTTTAGAAAGTTAATTTAGTGGTTTTCAAAAATTTAAACATTGAGGAGTCCTTTTCCCCAGTATTTTCACTTATAGAAGAATCCAATAAATTTTAAAAAGATATCCGTACACGGGTGATAGTAATATCAAAAAATTAGAAACAACCCAAATGCCCAGAAATTGGAGTTGATTAAATAAATTGTGGTTCACATACACAATTGAATACTATATAACACTAAAAAGTGAGATGGATTCATATATACTGGGAATGAAGATAGTAAAAAACATATTGTTTAAAAAAGAGGCAAACTGCCCGGCCGGGCATGGCTCAGCGGTTGAGCATCGACCTACAATCCAGGCGATCAGGGTTTGATTCCTGGTCAGGGCACATGCCCGGATTGTGGGCTGCAGGTGATCAGTGACTCTCTCATCACTGATGTTTCTATCTCTCCCTCTCCCTTCCTCTTTCTGAAATCAATTAAGATATATTTAAAAAAAAAAAAGAAAAAAGAGAAAAAAAAAGAGGCAAACTGAAAAACAATATAATCACAGTATTTTATGGGCAAAATAATAGTAGCGTTAGTACTGTATTAAAAAACTATTAAGAATTAGCAAGAAAATGCTGCCAATGATTATAGAGATAGGGATTGGAAGACCTGATGGAAGTCATAGGTTTTTTAACTCTCAAAAGATTTGTATTTCTCTAAGATTTAAGTGGTGTATAAAGAACGCTTATTATTAATGTAATAAGACAACAAAATTATGTATTTGACAGATTTTAACAATCAGAAAAATAAAACTCCCATAAAGGTTGTTTCACTCTTCAACCAGTCAAAGGTTTCTTAAGGCCTTAAAAAGATCAATTCCAAAAGGCTGGACATTTAACCCTCAACCGTTGGATCTCCCGAATTAGCCTTCATGAATCGTTCACCCACAAACGTACTTGAACTCCTTTCAAATCCATTCCTGTTCAGACTCTAGTCATTATACACAAACAGAAGTCAAGGCGGTAGTGTGCCAGAAAACTCAATCTGATAAAGCAAAGTGATCAACATCATTGTTCGTAGGTGGCCACCTGGCGATCAGGGCTGCAACTTGCCTGAAAGGACAAAAAATGACCCGAGTAGGAGGCCCCACTCCAGAGCCACAGCTGATCAGACCGCCCGCTCGGGCCACCGCACAGGTACACGCCCAAGACCACCAGCGCCATTCCCGGGTCTAGATTTACTAGTGAAAGTCGTGCCAAAGCGCCAATCAGAGGCGACGCTGGACGGCGACGTGTACGCCGTGACGTCAGAGCAAGGTGGCGGCGCCCTGAAGTTGACTCAGGTGTCCTCACGTTTGCGCCCCGCTTGTGTCAGGTTTAGAGGCAGACAGACTCCGCCTTTCTCCAACCATGTTCTCCCTCCGAGGTTGTGGTCGCTGGATCGCGGCTTCCCTCACCAAACAGCACCTTCCTGTGGCCCGGCTCAGCGGTGACAGCGCTGCGCCCGGGACGCCGCACTTCGACGTGATAGTCATCGGTGGAGGACACGCGGGGACGGAGGCTGCGGCCGCTGCCGCGCGCTGCGGCTCGCGGACTCTGCTGCTCACGCACCGCGTGGACACGATCGGTGAGGAGCGCGGCTGGTGTGGAGCTTCGCGTAGGGCGCAAGTTGCGACTAATCCCCTTCTCCCCCACCCAGTGCCAGATGGGGGCAATCTATTCCCTCCCCCAAGGCAAGGTGCTCATATGTTTAGTTTGTCTGTTTTCTTTAGGTCAGATGTCCTGTAATCCTTCCTTTGGTGGCATCGGAAAGGGGCATTTAATGAGGGAGGTCGATGCTTTGGACGGCCTGTGTTCCCGAATCTGTGACCAGTCTGGTGTACATTACAAAGTATTAAACCGGCGTAAGGGACCAGCAGTTTGGGGTCTGAGAGCGCAAATTGATAGGAAACTCTATAAACAGAACATGCAGGTAAGAATAGGGTACGGAGACAAGAGAGAGTGTAGTGATCCTTTAACTGTTGTTTCAACTTGCGTTCTGTTTTGACAGAAAGAAATTCTAAATACACCACTGCTGACCGTTCAGGAGGGAGCTGTAGAAGATCTTATTCTTACAGAACCAGAACCTGAGCACACTGGGAAATGCCGCGTCAGTGGTGTTGTTTTGGGTATGTGCTAGTTATAGTTGATAATAGCAGTATCAGACTCCATGTAAGCAAATTTATTTTAGAGCAGAGTATGGAGATGTTTTACTTATTCTAGGAAATTGTATAAAAAAATCATAATTCTTTCATTCTGGCCTTTGTGCAGCTTAGTCAAATTCTGGGCTCATCTGTACCATGTGTAGGACTTTAGCCTGCATAAGTGTCTTTTTTCTCTTGGTTTTTCTGTTGTACTTTTTAATTTTCCTAGCTCTGACCTTAAATTTTTTAAGCTTATGTTTTATAAGATTGTTTTATGTTTTTTATTTAAGAGTTTTGTATTAATTTTTTAATCAAAATAACACATACACTTAATTTTTATAAAAATCAAACAATTTAAAAGTTTGTATAGATAATTACTTCTGTATCCCCTCTATAAACCTAATAGTTCAGTTTTCTAAGCTGTCACTTCTGATCTATACTTATATATTTCTCAACAATATGCTTATATTTTCACTCCCTAAATTATCAGTCTAGTATCTGTTAACTTTTTAATGGTGGCTCTCTTTACTCCCCTCCTTTCCTTCCCTCTACCCTTCTAATATAATTATACCATAAATTTTGGTTGATAATATTTACATTATTGTGATTATTTAAATATTGTTCATTATAGATCCAAGTAGTGTATTGTTTGTTTTCTTTCATATACCTCTTTGTTTTGCCTTGGGTTAATAATTGCTTTATTTTTTATTTTCTTATTTTACCTGTGTACCTATTCAACTTTTTCATCAGGAAAAAAACACGATCATTTTCTCAATGCTCAAATAATCTATCAATTCCGTTGTTTTCTTTGATGCTTCCCTTCCAGAAATACCAACTTCCACAATCCTCCACAACTCATCTACTATAATCAGGACAATTGCTGTCTAGGCCTTCTACACAGATGTCATTTTGAGACTTCCTTTCACTACTTTGCTGTGTTGCATCATCCCTTGTTTCCTGGGACTTCAGTCTGTCTCTTTCTTACTACCCTGTTTTGCTAGAGCACATCTTCCAGTAGCTTCCTAAGAAAAGACTCATGTAGGTTTTTGAGTCCTTGTATATCTACACATGTATTATTCTCCCCTTAGACTTGACTCTTAGTTTGGCTGAGAATAGAATTCTAGTTTAAATCTTTTTTCCTGAGAATTTTGACAGTCTTGCTCCCCGATTTTCTGGCTTCCGGTTTTGTTGTGAAGAAGCTCAGTACATATTGACTTAAATTATTTTGTACATGATTTTTACCCCCCTTTCTGAAAGCTTCTAGGTTTTTGTACGTGTCTCTGGTGTTCTGAAATTTTTTTTTTTTTTTAAATATATCTTTATTGATTTCAGAGAGAGGAAAGGAGGGGAGAGAGAGATAGAAACATCAATGATGAGTCATTGATCGAGCCCGCAACCCGGGCATGTGCCCTGACCGGGAATCGAACCCCGATTGCCTGGATCCTAGGTCCACGCTCAACCGCTGAGCCACGCCCGGCCGGGCTGGTGTTCTGAAATTTTAAAATGATATCCCTCGGTGTGTTCTTTATTCATTCATTGTGGTGTGGAGTACTAGGTATTCTCCCTAAACGCAAAATCTGACCTTGATTTCTGGGATATTTCTTTCTATTATTTCTCCATGCTCTTTTTCTGTAACTCCTTATCCCTTTGTGGATTGGTCTTCTAGGTTTCTTCCATTTTTTATATTTTGTCATTTTGCCACACTTTTTTTTTTTAAATGCCTTTATTGATTTCAGAGAGAGGAAGGGAGAGTGAGAGATAGAAACATCAATGATGAGAGTAATTGATTGGCTTCCTCCTGCACTGTCCCCAGGAGTGAGCCGGCAACCAGGGCATCGAACTGAGTTCTCCTGGATCATAGGTAGATGCTAACCACTGAGCCACGCCGGCCAGGCCATTTTGCCATACTTTCTTAGGAGACTTCCTTAATGTTATTGTCCGAATCCTTGTAACGAATTTTTAAAATTTATATTTTCATTTCTATACACTGTCTTTTTTTTTCTGGTTGTTTCTTTTTTATTTATTTGTTTTACTTTTTTATTTGTTAATGAGAGAGAGAGAGAGAGAAACTTGGCGTATCAGGATGATGCTCTAACCAACTGAGCTTCCCAGCCAGGGCTGATTGTTTTGTTTTTTTTTAGCATCTTGTTCTTGGTTTCTGAATTAGACATCTTCTGTAATCTATATAAAGATTTTTTTATTTTATTTTTTTAAATATATCTTTATTGATTTCATAGAGAGGAAAGGAGAGGGAGAGAAACATCCATGATGAGAGAGTCAGGGATCGGCTGCCTCCTGCACGCCCCTGACTGGGGATCGAGCCCGCAACCCGGGCATGTGCCCTGACCAGGAATCGAACCCCAATCTCCTGGATCCTAGGTTGACGCTCAACCACTGAGCCACACCTGGCCGGGCTATATAAAGATTTTAATGATCAATTTTTGAAGTTTCCTTCTGATTTATGTATTTTCTTCAGATTTCTTTATTCTGCTTATTTGGGCTACTTACTTTCATGTACACAACTTTTTTTAAGTGTCTAGGGAACTTTGGTTGTCTGTTGAGATTTTTAAAAAGGAGGCACTAAAACAGTGGTTGGAAGATTTGTGAGTTCACAGTTAATGTTATTGCTTGGCTCATTCTCTGGTGATTAGGGACTGAACTGGCCTTTTTGTTGGGGAACTCCCAAATGTCGATGTCTGTTAGTTCTCAGAATGCCTGCTAGCATTCTGGAAACAAAATGGTGAGAGGAACTGTGCTGGAGAAACTCATCATTTAAAATACAGATCTTGACTTAATTTCCTATTATAAAACTAATTTTTACTGTAGATTTATTAGTGTTTTTTTAAATAGGAAATACATATACATGATAAATAGTTTAAAGGGGACAAAAGAATATGGAGTGAAAAAGTGGTCTCTCTGGCATCTTGTCCCCAGCCAGTTAGTTTTCTTCTTCAGGAGCATTCCTACTTTCTTGTGTAGTCTTTCTATCTGTGTATATATATATATGTATCTTCAAGTATGCGTGTGTGTGTGTGTGTGTGTGTGTGTGTGAGAGAGACACAGCAACATATTATACACACAGTTCTTTACTTTTTTTTTTAACCACTCAGTCTGTTTTGCTTTGCATTTAGGAGCTATGTTTCTATTTTAAAAGCTTGTATTTTTTGTTCTAGTGATTATTTTAATAATTGTGATTTTATATAGTATGCTTAATCTTCTTTCTCTTCTGTCAATGTTTATTGACTTCCCTCTATGAACAGTTACTAAATTAGTTTTATTTTCATTTCCTTTTCTCTCTTCTGCCTCCTTTCCTCTTCAGATTTAATGACTATATTGTTTTTATTTGTGTACACTTTTATACCTTTAAATTATTTATGCTTTTGTTACTTAATTTTGTATCTTTAAATGCTGTTTTTTTACCCTGTCTGTATTTTATAAGCTCAATAATACAATTTTTATTTTAGTAAAGTGTACATAGTATAAAACTTGCCATTTTAACCAGTTTTAAGTGTACAATTCAGTGCCATTAAGTACATCCACAATGTTGTACAACTGTCACCACTGTCCATTTTGCTAACTTTCTCATCCTAAATTGAAACTCTGTACCCATTACACAGTAACTCCCCATCACCCGAAGAATAAACCTAAACTTTCCTGTAAGGAAATCTGTCTGCAGATATAAACCTTTATGTGTAGATTTTAACTAGTTCTCTTAATTTCAGCCCCAAGCTTCATTCCTACATTCCTCAGTTCTCCAGTTTCTGGGCCTTTGTAGAGCAAATTAGTTTTTCCCTATTGGTGTATTCTCTTCAGATTCTTGATTTCTAGTCTTCTGCCCTTTGCTAGATTAATTATCACTCCTCCAGCCATTGTTTGTTTTCCAAAAATATTTTGAAATGTCTCATCTTTTGACATGTTTTCTCCCATTCATTGTTCTTGTGGTCTTATATCTTTGTGGCCCCTTTATTTAATTTTCTTGGAGTTTCAAGAGGGAGAGGAATTATATGAGGTAGTCTATCAGATTTAACCAGAAATCTAACATTAATTAATTTTTAAAATCAACTGATTTAATCATTTTCAGTGCTGGTATAATTTTAGGAACATGTGAATTGGTGGTAGCACATTATGTTCTACCTCCCAGCTTTCTTGGATTCTAGAGATTGATACCATACAGCCTTTTTACTCATTTAAAATTATTTCTCAAGTTTCTAAATGTAAAGTTTTTCTGTAGTTCTAATGTAAGATAGTCACATTCCAATTTGATCCATGGTAACAATTAGAACATGATTTTTACTCTTTCCTATCCTTTAGTGGATGGAAGCAAAGTATATGCAGACAGCGTGATTCTGACTACTGGGACATTTCTGAGAGGCGTGATTGTAATTGGGTTGGAGATGCATCCAGCAGGACGTTTAGGGGATCAGCCTTCCATAGGGTTGGCTCAGACTCTAGAGAAGTTGGGGTTTGTGGTGGGAAGATTGAAGACTGGAACTCCACCCCGAATTGCCAAAGAGTCCATTAATTTCAGCATTCTAAACAAGCAGACACCAGATAATCCATCCATACCATTCAGCTTTATTAATGAAACAGTGTGGATCAAGGTAAGATAATTTATGAAAATCTGGCTTTACAGCTAAATATTTACTATTCACAGCAGGCTATAGCCTAATCCTTCCTTCCTCCCTCCCTTCCTTCTTTCCTTTTCTCCTCCTCCTGCTCCCTCGTTCTCTCTCTCTCTGTCTGTCTGTCTCTCTCACTTTATGTCACTATTACTCAGGGTGCAAAAAAATGACCTTAAAAAGATTAGCTGATTTGACTGGGCCATTTCCCCCATATGTTTTTAAATTTCATTACTTCAATAACTTCACCTATTTAAACTTTTTGAAATAATCTCAGACCTACAGAAAAGTTGCAAGACAAACCAATCTCCTATAAACCATTGAAATTTACTCATTGCTAATATTTTATATTTATATCTCTCTCTAGATATATATAATATAGTATAACACAGTAGTACTATATACACATTTATTCTTACTCTTCCTTTTTTTCTGAAACATTTGAGAGCAAGTTGCAAAGATCATGACCTTTTGCCCCTAAATACTTCCGTCTATATCTCAACTAAGCACAAAAACATCCTCCTATGTAACCTCAATGCAGCGATGAAATTTGGGGAATTTCACATTGATATAATAGTGTTATCTAATATACAGTCCAGTCAGATTTTGCTGATTTTCCTAACTGTCTTTTATAGCAAACTTTTTTTGTTCTTCAGTCTAGGATCATATATTGCATTTAATTATCATTTCTCTTTAATCTGAAACAGTTCTTCAGTCTTTCATGATACTGACATTTTTTGAGTACAGGTTACTTTGGTTTATCTTTTGAATATTAAAAAAAAGCATATTGTGTTTTTAGAAGTGAGGACTAATAATTGACGGTCCTAGTTTCTTGTGAGTGTTATCCTAATGAATAGCTTAAAATATTGTTTTTTTTTGAAAAGTCACTTTTATATTGTTGCTTTGGGAAAATGTGAATTGTGATGATACTTTCTTGGTATGTGTATTTTTAAACTTTTATTATAAAATTTTAAGTTTACAGAAAGTAGAAGAAATAGTATAATGAGTCTCTGTGTGTCTATCACCCAGCTTCAACAAATAACTTCTTTTGGCATTCTTGTTTTCTCTTTCCTCAACAGTTTTTTTTTTTAATTGTTACCTGAGGGTATTTTTTCCATCGCTTTTCAGAGAGAATAGAAGGGGGAAGGGGGGGACATCAACTGGTTGCCTCCTGCACATGCTCCGACCGGGGCCAGGGATGGAGCCTGCAACCGAGGTACATGCCCTTGGCTGGAATTGAACCTGGGACCCTTCAGTCCATGGGCCAATGCTCTGACCACTGAGCAAAACTGGCTAGGGCCTCATCACTTTCTTCATACTGAGTTTAAGCAGCAATCCCAGACATCATATCATTTCATTTATAAATACATTGGTATATGTCTTTAACAGATAAAAACTGCAAAAATTAACCACAATACCATTACCACACCCAGCAAAACATAATTTCTTAACATCATCCAATATTCAGTGTTTAGTTTTCCTTGGTTGTTTTTTACCATTGTTTTAAAGTGTTTATTTAAAATGTTTACAGTTTATTTTAAATGTTTCTGTATAGTTGTTTTATTTGAACCAGCAACCAAATAAGGTTCATACATTGCATTGGATACTATGCCTTATAATATCTTTTTTTTTTTGACATTTATATGTGGAAGAAATAGTCATTTATTCTCTAGATTCAACATTCTAGATTTGTCTGATTTCATCCCTCTGGTACCTTAAGCATGCTTCTCTATCCTCTGTATTTCCTGTAAACTGGTAAATCTAGAAGCTTGCTTAAATTTATGTTCATCTTTTGGGTTGTTTTTGGCAAGAATATTTCATAAGTAGTACTTGGCAGTATGCATAGATTTAATATCTAGAAAAGTAAGTGCATATTATGTGTGCAGTTATTTGCATAAGAGGGAAACTAGTAGAGAAGCAAAAGTGTTATAACTAATTCATCTGTTCTAGCCCGAAGATCAGCTGCCGTGTTATTTGACTCACACCAATCCTAAAGTGGATGAGATTGTCCTTGAGAACCTGCACCTTAATAGTCACATCAAGGAAACTACAAGAGGACCCAGGTAAGGACAAAGTATCACTGCTCAGTTACTTTAAGGAATGATGCCAACCCTCTTTTGTTTGTTTCATTTTTTTATTTCAATGTCCTGTTTTAGATACTGTCCTTCCATTGAATCAAAGGTTTTGCGTTTTCCAAACCGTATACATCAGGTTTGGTTGGAACCTGAAGGAATAGATTCTGACCTCATCTACCCCCAAGGGTTATCTGTGACGCTACCAGCTGAATTACAAGAGAAAATGATTACATGTATCAGAGGCTTGGAGAAAGCCAAAATGATCCAGCCAGGTAAAGAGAATCACAGCTGCCCTTTAGTAGGAGCTCAGCATTGCGTTAGCAGACAGTGTGGAGATCTTAGCTACATTCATGGTTGCTTATAGCCTTAGAAGACAAAACCCAACATCTGTGCATTTAAAATAGTCTTCCTTTTTGAAGAGCATTTAATGATATTATTTGGATCTCTACAATGAGGCAAATCCAGCTCTGTTTTTACTTATTTTGTACCATTTATTCTTTGATCAGGCTATGGTGTTCAGTATGATTACTTAGACCCCCGTCAGATCACTCCTTCTCTAGAGACTCATTTGGTGCAACGGCTCTTCTTTGCTGGACAGATAAATGGCACTACTGGTTATGAGGAAGCTGCAGCTCAAGTAAGAGTTTGTTCAAATATTAATGTAAACAGAAAGGGACTATTTAGTCAGTGTTCCTCCTAATGTCTGTTATGATAATTACATAGATCTTCGGTACAACTCATATCTAATAGAAGACAGTTCTGTTTTCAGGGTATATGAAGATGGCTACTGTATACAATAGGATTTTAAAAACACTTGTGGCTTAATACTCTTTTAAAATAACTATTGAAAAATGATCATATATTATTCCTTTTAAGTGAGAAGTTATATTATTTTTATTTGTAAGTGGAAAAAGGCTAGAAAAGTTTTTAGGAATGTATTTTGAAAACAATGAGCCATAGTGTTGTAAAGTGGTACATTACCCATATTGTTTCTGTATAAGGTTCAGATTTTCTACCTCTAGTCTATCCCTTCTGGGTAGTGCCTGCTTTCTTACTACCCCATGCTTTTCCCAGGTAGTGTTCTGAATAGGATAGCTCTTTGTTCAGTTCATAATGGCCTTTTAAACATTTCAGTCCTCTTGTAGGGTGTGATAGCTGGAATCAATGCAAGTCTTCGGGTCAGACAAAAACCTCCTTTTGTCGTTAGCCGTACAGAAGGCTACATAGGAGTCTTGATTGATGACCTCACCACACTGGGCACCAACGAACCATACCGAATGTTTACCAGCCGAGCCGAGTTCCGTTTGTCACTGCGCCCTGATAATGCCGACACCCGCCTCACGTTCCGAGGTAACTCTTCACTGAGTCTGCCAACCAGATTTTACTCTTCCTTCAGACGTCTCTCATTGTGTTCTCTCCTGCCCTCTTCTAGGGTATAAGGAAGCTGGCTGTGTGTCCCAACAAAGATATGAAAGAGCTTCTTGGATGAAGTCGTCTTTAGAAGAAGGCATTTCTATGCTAAAATCCATTGAATTTTCAAATTCTAAATGGAAAAAGTTAATCCCAGAGGCTTCTATAAGTATGAGTAAAAGTGTATCTCTCAGGTATGTTTTTTTTTTTTTAGCATATATATGGTTTATTATAAGGAAGTGGTGGCTTCTGTAATTATGGAGAGGGCATTTCCTAAGATGTGCAGAGCGAGCTGGCAAGCTGGAGATCCAGAGAGTCAGTGACCTAGTTCCTGTCCAAGTCTGAAGGCCTGAGAACCGGGCCCAATAGAGTTGTCTGAAACAGCTCTGAAAGCTGGCAGGCCCACAAAGAGCCGATGTCTTACTTGAGTCTAAAGGCAGGAAAAGCAAATGTCTTTGGCCGTTCAGGCAGGAGGACTTCTCTCTTGCTCTGGGAAAGCCAGCCTTTTTGTTTTATCTCGTCCTTTGACGTGGGGTAGGGCCCACCAACATTAGGAAGGGCAATCTGCTCTGTTCAGTCTTCTGATTTAAATGTTAATCTCACCCAAAAACATTCTCACAGGAACATCAGGTATGCATTTTTAATATGAATTACAGAATTTACAAATTACAGGATTTACAGAAAAATGAGATCATTTCATAGAGACATGAAAGACTCCCTATTCATTTTTTAAAAATTTATCTTTATTATTGAAAGTATTACAGATGTCCCTTTTTTTTCCCCAGTGACCCCCTCCTCTCCAGGCCTTCACCACACTATTGTCTGTGTCCATGGGTTATGCATATATGGTTCTTTGGTTAATCTCTTCCCGCCCCCCACCCTTCCCGCTGAGATTCTTCAGTCTGTTGCATGCTTCTATGTCTGTGGATGTATTTTGTCAGTTTATTTTGTTCATTAGATTTCACTTATAAGTGTTATGTGATATTTGTCTTTCTCTAACTGGCTTATTTTGCTTAGCATAATAGTCTCCAGATCCCTCCATGTTGTCTCAAAGGATAAGAGATCCTTCTTTTTACAGCCATACAGTATTCCATTGTGTAAATGTACCACAGCTTTTTTATCCACTCACTACTAATGGGCACTTGGAATGTTTCCAGATCTTAGCTATTGTAAATAGTGCTGCTATGAACATATGGGTTCTTTCATATATATTCTTTTTAAATGGTGTTTTGGGATTCTTAGGATATATTCCTAGAAGGAGATCATTGGGTCCAAAGGCAGTTCCACTTTTAATTTTTTGAGGAGCCTCCGTACTGATTTCCACAGTGGCTGTACCAGTCTGCATGCACCAACAGTGTACTGGGGCCTGGCTAGTGTTGCTCAGGGGTTGAGCATTGACTTATGATCTAGGAGATTGTGGTTCAATTCCCGGCCAGGGCTTGTGCCTAGGTTGTGCGGGGGCATGCAGGAGGCAGCCAGTCAGTGACTCTCATCATTGATGTTTCTATCTATCTCTCCCCACTTCCCTTCCTCTCTCTCTGAAATCAATAAAGACATATTTAAAAAAACCCAAAAACAAAAAAAACACTGTACTAGGGTTCCCTTTTCTCCACATCCACACTGGCACTTGTTTGTTGATTTATTGATAGCAGCCATTCTGGCAGGTGTGAGATGATACCTCATTGTCATTTTAATTTGCATCTCTCTGATGATTAGTGACTTTGAGCATTTCTTCATGTGTCTGTTTGCCATCTGTATGTCCTCTTTGGAGAAGTGTCTATTCAGGTCCTTTGCCCATTTTTTAATTGGATTGTTTGTCTTCCTGGGGTTGAGGTGTATGAGTTCTTTGTTTTTTTTGGAAATTAAACCCTTATCAGATGTATTATTGGCAAATATGTTCTCCCATAAAGTAGGCTCCCTTTTCATTTTATTGATGGTTTCTTTTGCTCTGCAGCTTTTTATTTTGATGTAGTTCCATTTGTTAGTTTTTGCCTTTGTTTCCCTTGCTCTAGGCGATGTATTGGTGAAAATAGTCCTATGTGAGATATCTGAGATTTTACTGCCTATGTTTTCTTCTAGGATTTTTATGGTTTCATGTCTTACATTTACGTCTTTTAACCATTTTGAGTTTATTCTTGTTTATGGTGTAAGTTGGTGGTTTAATTTCATTTTTTTGCATATACCTGTTCAATTTTCCAACACCACTTATTGAAGAGACTATCTTTACTCTATTGTTTGTTCTTACCTCCTTTGTTAAATATTAATTGGCCATATTGGTGTGGGTTGATTTTTGGGGTCTGTGTTCTGTTTCATTGGCCTGTATGCCTGTTCTTGTGCCAGTACCAGACTGTTTTGAGTACAGTGACTTTGTAGTATAGTTTGATATCTGGTGTTGTGATCCCTCCAACTTTGTTTTTTTTCTCAAGATTGTTGTGGCTATTCGGGGTCTTTTTTGGTTCCATATAAATTTTTGGAATATTTGTTCTAGATCTGTGAAATATGCTGTTGGTATTTTAATAGGGCTTGTATTGAATCTGTAGATTGCTCTCGGCAGTATGGACATTTTAATGATGTTAATTCTTCCAATCCATGAACATGGTATATGCTTCCACTTTTTTGTGTTTTCATTTCCTTTTTCAATGTCCTATAGTTTTCTGAGTACAAGTCTTTTACCTCCTTGGTTAAGTTTATTCCCAGGTATCCTATTATTTTTGTTGCAATGGTAAATGGGATTGTGTTTTTAGTTTCTCCTTCTGAGGGTTCATTATTGCTGTATAAAAATTCCATCAATTTCTGGGTGTTAATTTTGTATCCTGCTACTTTGCTAAATTTATTAAATCTAGCAGTTTTTTGGTGGAGTCTTTAGGGTTTTCTATGTACAATATCATATCATCTGTGAATAAAGACAGTTTTAGTTCCTCCTTTCCAATTTGGATGCCTTATATTTTTTCTTGTCTGATCACTATGGCTAGGACTTCCAGTACTATATTGAATATGAGTGGTGAAAGCAGACAGCCTTGTCTTCTTCCTGATCTTAAGGGAAATGCTTTTAGTTTTTGCCCATTGAGTATGATGTTGGCTGTTAAGCAGATTTTTAATTACAGTAACTAATTATTAAAGAACCTGCATAGTAGTCACCCAAATCAGAGGATCTCATTCATAGGAATGACAGCCTGATTCACAAATAAGGGTGATAGATATATTTGTTTACCAGCTAAGTGGCATCAAGAAACGGTAGTAGTATAAAAAGTTTATAATTGTAATTCACTCAATTTTCTAGCTCTTGTTTTGTTTAAATTTAGGAGGGTTCACATTATTTCAAACTTTGCACAAAGAATTTATAACATGTTTTGTTTTGATCAAATATCGTAAAAAATCAAATTTATGTTATCAAAATTTGAATTAGAATTTGCATTAAATGTGACTAATATATAATGAGGTCATAGTGAAAGCAGGGGAAGTGATTGTTTTCAACTCAGTTTAAAATGCTAATTGATGATAAAATATGTAAAAGGAAGCTATAGTTTTATATTTTTACCAAACAAATCCCATGATTAAAGTGATTTTTTTTTTAAGTAATTTGCGTCCTAGCTGGTTTGGCTCAGTGGTTAGAGCATCAGCCTGTGGACTGAAGTGTCCCGGGTTCAATTCTGGCCAAGGGCACATACCTCTGTTGCAGGCTTGATCCCCGGTCCCAGTCAGGGTGCATGCAGGAGGCAACTAATTGATGTGTCCCTATCACATTGATGTTTCTCTCTCCCTCTCTCTCCTTCTCTCCCTCCCTCCCTCCCTTCTACTGTCTCTGAAAAGTAATGGAAAAAATATCCTCGGGTGAGGGTAAAAAAATAAATAAATTTGGCTAAATGCTTTCCTTTTTAATTTGGGTCTTTCCCTTCAGGGGGAAACAGGGCCCCAGTTCTGCTGAAATTTGATTTCAGCAGAATATTCACAGCCTGGCATTCAGCCTCTCTAAATGGCCTCACTTCTTTCTAATTTTTTCCCCCCCTTTTTTAAAAAAAATGTTATATTTTGATTACAGTTGACATTCAATATCCTAAATGAACTTACTTTATCAATGCCTAGATATATAAAACTAAAAAGATAGAAAGTTGGTCTAAATACATTGATTGCTTTTACTGCATACGTGCCAGTCTCTGTGCTGAGCACTGACAAGTTGAACCAGACTTTGAGCAGGCATTTTAACCAGAGAGATACACAAATGCATGTGCACACTTGTTTTCTGTCAAGAGTATAAGGAAACCCAATGATGTGTTAGGTAGCTCAGAAGTTTTCTTGTCTTCTGTTGAAGTCTGAGAACTTATCCTTTCTGTGCCAGTCCTCTGTACTCCGAGGCTTAGGCTTGATTCAAAGCATGTATTGAAGTTTGGACCTGAGAACAACTCCAAGCCTTGTAAACAAATGATTATTTTTTTATAAGTTAGATGGTCAAGGACTTTTCTTTGAGGTCACAATACTGCTAGATTCTAAGGTAACTCTTTTTTTGGTTAGTCATTAGGAGGTGTGTTCCACTATGTTCTATAATTTCTGAAAAGATTGATAACCATTACCTTTTTGGAGCTTCATGTTCTGTAGCTTCAGTATAGCTTATCTGATGAGGCCTCTGTAATTAGGTGTCCAGTTCTTTATGGGGAGAGAATTTCTGGGCTTTCTTAGAGCAGGTCTTCTGAGGGACAGATGAATCAAACATATGCAAAACGTGATAACACATGACTCTGATAATAGAGTGAGCTATAAAGAAGGTTGGTGGGAGGCCTGGGAATACTTGGGACCCCTGGATGGGCAGGTCTGACTTTCTGTTGACTTGATAATGAATAAAAATAAAATGAATTAAGGCAGTAAATGTAGGGAAACTGTACAGATCCGTGAGGCCTCATGAGAACCAAACAAAATGAGAGGGAAACTGCAGAATATTTTTGCAGTCTTGGAGCAAGCAGAAGACCTCCTTCAGCTGGTTCTGAGCATGCAAAGGATGACTCATTTACAGAACATGGGCTTAAATGGCTATGGCTTAGATGTAAATTCTTAGGGAATTCAGTCGAACCCTTGTTATCAGGATATTTTTTCCTTACAACAAAGGAAGACAAATGGATTATAGCAATGCAACCTTTACCAACAACTCATTTCTCATGACAAAGGAAGGGAGTTGGGGAGAATCACATACATCTCATTGAGGTTCTACTGTGTTGCAGATGCTGCTGCATTTGTTCACTGTACTTGGAAAAAATTAGGTATCTTTTGATATTATTTATTCTGAGATGATTAATTCCAAGGAATCCTGTACTTAATCTGTCTTATGTGATATGGACCCTTATGATGATGAAATTTTTCTGTATTTGCAGAGCTCTGGATGTTCTGAAGTACGAGGAAGTTGACATGGACTTATTGGCCAAGGCTGTTCCAGAGCCCTTGAAGAAGTACACTCAATGTAGAGAGCTAGCTGAAAGACTGAAAATAGAAGGTAGAAAATACTTCTTTTACTTAAGATGCCTATATATACTGTCTCTCTTCCATTTGTACAAATTATGAATCGACAGCAGATCCATTAAGAGCTCTATTTAAGAGGATCCATTATTACTATAGGACCAGCATAGTCTTAGTTTCTGTGCTACTTAAAGTGGGCTTCCCAGGCTAGGAGCATTGTAACAGGCTAGGAATGCAGAATCTCAGGCTCCACCCCAGACCCACTGAGTGAGCATCTGCATTTTAACAAGATCCCCATGTGATTAGTATGCACATTTCAAGTTTAGGAACTGCTACTGTAAAGCTCTTCTTTTTTAAAAAAAAAAAAAAAGGCCAGCCGGTTTAGCTCAACAGTTGAGCATCAACCTATGATCCAGGAGATCAAGGTTTGATAACTGGTCAGGGCATATGCCCAGGTTTCAGGCTCTATCCCCAGCAGGGGGCATGCAGGAGGCAGCCAATCAATGACTCATCATTGATGTTTCTATCTCTCTTTCCCTCTCCCTTCCTCTCTCTCAAATCAATAAAAATATATTTTAAAAAATTTTTTTTTCTTCTTCCCTTTTACAGTTTCCCCATATAAATTTTTTTTTTTTTTTTTTTAATTCTCACCCAAGGATATTTTTTCCATTGCTTTTTTCAGAGAGAATGGAAGGGAGAGAGAGAGAGAAACATTGATGTGAGAAAGACACGTTGATTGGTTGCCTCCTGCATGCACCCCAACCAGGTGGGGATCCAGTCTACAACCGAGGTATATGCCCTTGGCCGGAGTTGAACCCAAGACCCTCAGTCTGCAGGCTGATGCTCTAACCACTGAGAAAAACTGTGTAGGGCTTTTTTAAAAAAATTTATTTTATTGTTGAGAGTACTACAGATGTCCCCC